AAGAGGTTTCCTGGGTTTTGGCTGGCGTGAACTCAGCTACATTAAGCCCTGTTGGAAGCGGAACCCATTCTACTAAATTAGTTTTTTCCTAGTGAAAGGAAGACTAGACAGGGAGTCACATACACAGAAGACTTAACGGAAAACCAAATTGCAGGGCGCTTTATCTGTCGGGATGAAGAACATTACACCTCGTACAGGAGAGAACAGCTTCTATGCTGCAGTGCGTAAGTCAAAGATAAATCTTGCTCAGGCTGGTAAAATAGCAGTTAGCTAGTCTGATGCTGACTGTGGCTTGTCCTTGTCTTGCAGAAGCACAGTGGTTGATGCCTCAGTTCACTACTGATGAAAATCTACAGCATGTTGTAAGGTCATAAATTCTGTTCTGCTGGTTTCATAATCAGGGATCGGTCTCAAAGCAGGTTTTGTAATTTATAGCTTTAGGCAGCCTTTTGTACTGCAGCCTCTTGTACTACATCCTGGTAATTAACCTGGAGGAGGAGTAAAGGCCAAGGGTTTAACTTTACTCAGTGTTCCCTGGGAAACAGGCATAATTAAACAAATTATTTTGAACAAATATAGGTCATGGTCTCTTCATTCTTTTTTGTACTCAAATTATTGGACCTTGGCATAGCTGGAGCCTGAACAGCAGCCACTAAATAAATTCCAGGAACGGGTGTGAATGTCGTTGCTGAGCTCATTTCTATTGCACCTTGAAACGGAAGTTTTATGACAGCCTTAAAATTTTATTCTTTACTTCTGCCATTATTGTGTAATTTGTAGTTTTGTTACAGATAGCTCCAGTTGTAGTCCTTTTCTGCTGTGCTGTGGCTCAGAGGAGTGTATGTTCAAGATTCCCATTTAAAGTATGTCACAGATTAATCTCTTATGAACAAGTCTGTTCCCTCTTACCTTTGCCAAAGCAGCAGGAAAATGCTCAAGAGCCCTAGCTGTTCATGGCTTGCAATGTGAAGTGAGACAGCGATGTCCACTGTGGGAGTAAAACCTCAGATCTTTACTTAAGAGTTTTGAGGTGGACCTCCAGGGTGAACACTGGGAACAGGGAGAGGATCTTATCAGTATTTGTTCTGTATTTTCTTCAAGGTACTCCCTCTTTCCGTGTGTGGTTTGGGTGTTTGGATTTTTTTCCTCCTCTTACACACTCCTTCTTTTATGGCTGAGCAAACAGAGACCTTGCTGTTGCTGTAATTGACCCAGACAGTATTTGTATAGCAGGGTGGACTTCCGCAACTTCTGTACCCTGGCCTATGTCACCACTTTATTGTCAGCAGGCAAGTGCCACTCATCACTAACAGTTTTAGTAAGATGTCGTGGATGTAGCAGCAGAAATTTGGGAAGATGGGCTTAGAAGATGAAATGGAGACAAGGTTGTGGGAATGGTTGGGAAAGTTAACTTAGGGGGCTAAATATTTGCTAAGTTAGAGAAATGGCCAACAGAGACTTGAAGCATGGAAAAGGTGGTGATGAGGGAAGTTTTTGAACGTGAGTCGGTGTGTTTGTGGATCTAGTTTGCCTGGAATCAAACCAGTGTGGGAGAAATTCCCCTTGGAAAAGTCCTGGATAAATGCAGTGTTCAAAAGAAGCAAGTGAAACGTGTATATATATAAACATTTTTTTCAGATTGCTAATGAAGTTAGCCATTATTTCTTAACCTCAGCTTTAAGTGCTAAAGGCTCTTTTAATATTTTTTTCAATTTGAAAGGAACGTTCTGCATAGGATTAAAAGCAAGAAAAAACCGCCTATCCCATTGCTCCCCACCCTCTACCACAAAAAAAACCCCCAAGCCTTTTTGCCTTAAATTTGTACCTAAAGCCTTATTGAAAAGGAATCTTATAATTTTTTTTTAGTATCCTGTCATTATTGTATTTACACGTGAAGCTAATAAATAAAAATAATTATGGTTACACATGAAGAAAAAATAAATTTATTTCAATTATGTAATAGTAAGCATTATGTGTGCTAAGAATCTGGGTTGTAGGGGTTTTTTGTTTGTTTTTTGAGTGACTTGAGTAATAATTGTTCTTCTTTATTTTAGTACCATGGCTATGTTTTATTATGTAAAGGAAATTACTGATGTATCGAGGCTCTGAACTGCCAGGCTGCCTTCTCTTGATTTTTTTTTTAAATTTTTTTTCGTGTTCTGTCTCCACTCCCATGCACCCGTACCTGCCCGGAGGCAGCAGTGGAGCAGAGCTGGCAGTGTGGGCAGCGATGGCAGCAGGCTGTGCAGCTCCCCTGCTGCCACGTACGCGGGGGCCTGGCAGCTCCCTCCAGCAATCAAACGCTGGAGGCGTGTGCAGGCTGATAGGAGCATGGCAAGCACCAGGAGGGAGGAAGCCGCCTGCTCTTTTTCCAGCAGAGGAGGAGAATATGTGTTTTGCTTTCAGCCCTAATCAGAAATGTTGAATTTTTGCTTTTTGGCCTCATGAGCTTTGGGGGGGTTTAACAGTCCTTGTATTCGTAACAGCAGGCATTGCCTCCAGCAGTTATGATTCCCTTGGGATAGCAATATCTTCCAAGTGTTCTTTGGATGGGTTTTATAACCATATTTGCATCTACTTTAATAAAGTGTTCAGCTTTATCAAGTTCTGTAAAGTTGCAGTGAAGTGCGGTGACATTTTGAAGATGTTCAGGCTGGAACACTGTCCCTCTAGAGCATTGAAAAAGACCCCATGCAGCTGCTGCCGTACCTTTATGCTCTTTATTTAGCATCACTGAATATTCAAAAGTAAAAATTCATTATTTTGCAGAACTACAGGGATGACCATGAGAGACCTATTTCCAAGATTTAGCTTCTAGCATTAAAAAGGGACACAGATAGGAACCAAATCTAAATGTAGGGTATGCCATTGGGCACACCTGGAAAAATAAACTTGATCTCCCTGATGTCTTCTGTGTGTGGAGGTTGTGCCCTCTTGTGTATATTGCACAGTAATTTTATGCTGGATTTGGTGCTGTAGGTCTTATGCACTGTGTTTTCATATGCAATGAAAAATTACATAGAGCTTAGTCATGTAGAGGAGTGCATGTATAATGAAAAGCTTGTCATCTTTTCAGCAGCCTTGATGTTTAAGTTATTCCAAAACTCCTAGATAGCACTGCAGTGAAAGATCTCATTGGAAACCAGGGCTGAAGGGAATGTGGGAAATACATTTACCATGCTATCGAGAGCATCTTGTAAGCATCTCATATGATGTAAAAATTTCTGTGAGCCTTTACCCTTCAGATATAATCTGGTTATGGATGGTGTCATGTTAGCTAATCTGTAGTCTATTCTTACAGTTGAATATGCAGAATTGGGCCATGACGGTTGTAGGTGGCTTTGACTTCCCCAGACCTTTCTTGAGGTTTAAATCTCGCCATTTGTGATTGACAGTTTACTGATTTAAAGCCTGATTCTGTAAAATGTCAGCAAGTTTCCTAGCTGTGTGTCCTGCTTGGTTTCCTCATGTGTGGAGCTCTGTGAATTGTTAACTCTGTTACACCCATTGGAAGAGGAAAAGGGTGTGATGTTGGGGTAATGGTTATACTCCTGGCTGATCCCACTTCACACTTCTGTTTGTAGGGGGGGATGGAGAATGAACAAATGGCACAAATGGAAGGGCAGTAGTTAAATTTGCATACACAGAAATAGGTTTTTTTTTCCAGTTAAAGGCATCCCATATAGATTTACTGGTAAACATGCTTTTTCTAATGCTGCGAAACTGTGTTCACTTACTTGTTGAGTCTGTTGGAAACTTTACGCACTGGAGTAAACGTAAGGTAGGGTTATAACTTTTAGTCTGCTCTGTTTGTTGTAATTTCCGCTAGTTTATTTTTAAATTTAAATGAGTACATGCAACATGAAGTCCAAACAGTTTTAAAATAAATTCAAGATTTCTCAGTTGTATTTTCCTTTTTTAAAAAAAAAAAAAAAAGTGTTTTTCCATTCCACTGTTGCTACGCAAAAGAGCCATGCAAACCAGAAAGGGAAGTTAACATGATTATGCAAAACAAAAACAATCCCACAAAACCAGCACCCCCCAAACCAAACCCAAACCAAAACTCCATAGCTGAAATCCAAAACACAGCAAAACAAGCCAGATGCAAAAGGCAGTGCTTTAGGGGAAAGAAAGGCAAGGGATACTGTTTGCACACCAGTTTAAAAATAGACTAGGGATTGTCACTAAAAATAACCTTGAAAAAGTTAACACTGATTGTGGATGTTTTCTTCATCTGCAACAAGCTCCTTGAGTTACTTTTATCATTATTCCTGGTAGTTGTTCTGTTTAAAATAAGGCTTTCTGTATTCTGGAAAATGATTGTTGTTTTGTCCTTCATTTAGCTATCTGTCCTTTTTGACCTCCCCTTCTGTTTTGGACAGCTAATGACTTTGTCCACTTCTGTGCTGACAGAGGCACTATCAACTTTGAGAGATCCAATTTGTTCTAGTGACCTTATCCTCTCAGTAAACCCTTCATTTTTTATGGTGATGCTGTAAGGATGAAGTGTATCCCTTCTGCTTCTTACTCTGACCTTACGCTTTTGCAGACGTTGGCGTTTAAATGCCTTCTAACACTTCTCATACAATTACTCACTTGGAAGATGTAGCTTGTTTGTCAGAAGATTTTCTACTCTTGATTAATAAGACTGTTCTGTATAGTTTGCAAACTTCTGGAGACTTTAATAGCACAATAAAGTAAGCATTTTCAAGTAATACATCCTTAACAACATAATAGACAAAGTGAGCAGTAAGTAGTAACTGAAATGAGTAAGAAAAAATAGACTGAGGAGTGACAGTACAACTGTTTAGATAATCTGAACATGTTTATTGGTCCAGCAAAAGGAAATGGTAAGAAGTTTCCCAGGGAAAAGCCTGGGTGACTTGTGCAGTTTGTCTAAATTTTGGTAACTGACTACTGCAAACATGTTGCCTGTTAATTTTATGTGGTGTAATTAGTGAAGCATTACAGAAAATGATTGTATCACACATACTTTTCAGATCTTTGCAATGAGCTACCCTGGCTATCCCCCGGCGGGTGGATATCCACCAGCAGCCCCAGGTAAGTTGTTTAGGTGAAGTAAACATTAAATGGCAGTGGTGGTCCTATCTGGAATGGAAGGGTGGCATGGGGGAAGAACAAGACTGGGCAGCGTTTTCGTGACTCACTGAAGCTTCCTGTGCTCTCTTGTTAAGTCCTATTTTATCTTGGCTGGGGATTCTGATTTATATAATATGGGTACTCTACCATGTGCTCACATAAGGTCCGTTTTCATTCACCTCAAATGAAGCACACAGCACTAGGAGATGGTCATAATTTGACCTAAATTAATAAATGTCAGGGAACGGTGTCCTGTCAGTACTGAGTCTTGAACGCAGCTGGTGAGAAAAATGAGTATGGGGAGAAATCAGTCACACAGTTTAAAACCATATCCCACAAAAATTAGGGCTTTAATTATGACATTATCCCTAAGTCACTGTTTTTAGGCAGATGGTTGTATATAGAAGGGAGACGGCTGTTAAAAAGGATATAAATTATAATAATACAAAGCTGATGAAATATATAACTACTGTTTGGTATCAGGCTGAACTTTATAGTTGTTAGTAATGAACTTTACATTTGTTAGTATTGTTGGTAGAAAGAAAGAACTGGAGTCACAGGGGTGTGGTGAAATGTGGAGTTAGGCAAGCTAACTCGGGAAGGGGAAGCAGTGTACAGTGAGAAGCCAGACTAGCTTGGGAGGATAAATCCTACTTCTCAGCAGACTATTCTGGCTTGCTTAGACTGCTGTGCAGACAAGACTGTACTGCTGTGCACAGCCAAGTTTTGTGACTTGGGTAGCTGTGAATGTACTGTGTCATGCTCTGTAGACATCTCTCAAATTAGCAGCCTAAAAGGAATTAATAATATTTTCCTACTGGAATACCCAGACAACTTTGTAGTTTAAGAGAAACTACTCTGTAGGCAAAATACGGTGTTTACAATATTAATTCTTGAGTGTTAACCTTCAAATATGTTTAGAGTTGTTTTAAATGAGAACTTATAGATTCAATGGTAACTAACGTGATTAGAAATATCCAGTGAGGCTTCTCTTTATATCATAATTGCACTGCTACTCTGCACCTCTTCAGTTGATTTTCCTTCTCCCAAACTGCTAGTGTTGAACAGACATTACATTAGAAACGTAAGTAGTAAGTTTAAAAAGGTGTAGTGTCTTGTTTCAGCACAGCTGTGTTTGATTTCAGGTAGCAGTCCTTGGGGTGGTGCTGCCTATCCACCTTCAAATCCACCTCCGATTGGTCTAGAAAACGTGGCTGGCTATGCCAATCAGTTCAATCCCAACTACATGGCTGGAATGGTGAGTTTGCTTTCATTTAATGTGTTTTACTGTGACTTCCTTAAGTGCAAAGATGTGTTTCTGGCATTGCCACTGAGAAATTTATCGCTCGCGTTCCGTGCCTTTATGTCTAGTCTGTTTAGGTGTTGAACATTCAATATCTATTGAAGAAAATGGTTACTGCAAGCTATTCCTTATTTTAGGAAAGCAGACCACTAGTTAAATCTTGATTTAAGAGCCTAACTTCGAAAGTCATGGACATAAAATTAATATAACTTGGCTTCTGCTGTGCAGAGGAATAGGGGAACAGACTATTAACACTAAGCGTCCACTGTTAATATATTCACATTGGCAAACACAGTCCAGATTTTGCCTATTACCTGGATTATGGCCAGTCTGAATAAGGAACAAGGCTGTGCAATTTGAGGAATCAATGACTCATTCCTGAAAAGAATATGGGATCAGCTGTCTCTTATAAGCACTGATGTTTAACAGATTGCAGATGTTTCCAGTGTGACTTTTTTTTTTTGCATAGAGTAGAAGTGAGTGACACTTCTGACAACTTAGTCTTCAGAAATCTCTTATGCTGCATAACGAATGCACAGTTTGTAGGAAGACATTTGCATTACAGATGCCTTTCTGAGGCAATGATTAAATGAAGTGATTTGGCAGCCAGCAGTCAAAATGAGCATCAAACTATCTAGGGTGCACATACCAATATCCACAGCAACTAGCTTCTGAGAACACTGCAGTTGTCAAATGTCAGTTCTTCTGGTTCCTCTGTAGAAGAGGGTCCAAGTGTCTCACATGGGAAGATGATACTGCATGTGGAGTGGAGTATCTTTGTGGCAGTTTCTGCAGAAGTCTTTCCAAATGTAGTCCAGGAACTCTTGCTAGTTGTAAACTACTAATGCATCTAGTGCATTGCAGAACAGCCAGAGGTTGCTCGTAGTAAACCCCTGTACTCAGAAAATGCTGTGGTCATGTAAGGCAGCCATGGACAGAGAAGTCTGTTTATGTTGCTGGGATTAATTGGCTAAGTTTTTAGAATAAGAGGTGTGTGGCTATTGGCACTCTTCTATGTGAGTGGTGTGTAATGCTGGATGCAGTGGCAGGTATGTGTTTTTTGGTTCTGCTTCTTGATGTATGGCAGCTGATGATTACAGTAGAGCAAGAGTCAACTGAATACAGGTTTTCTTCCATCTTGCTCGCTAGTAAGACATGATTATTGTAAAGGTCTTTTGCGGATGCAGAACTACCTGTCTGTGTTGGTGGCGAGGAAGGTTGTATTGTATTAAGCACATTAATGAAACTCAACCATTTGTACACCTTCCCATCTCTTGCTTTATTGGCTGTCATTGCAGGCATCTAACCTGGCAGGGACCTTTGGAGGGACAAACGTACCACAAGGCATATATCCTTCAACACCTGGGGGTTATCCCCCAGTCCCTCCAGGTGGCTTTGGGCAACCTCCATCAGGACAACAGCCCTCTTACGGAGGATATCCTCCACCTGGAGGAAATCCGACATCAGGAATGCCACCTTACCCAGGATACCCAGGTGGCACTGTGCCAGGCCAGCCCACACCACCACCTGGTCAGCAGCCTGTGGGCTATCCAGGACAACCACCAGCAACTTACCCAGGGCAGCAGCCTATGCCAAACTACCCAGCAGGCCCAGCCGTGAATCCTTCTATGCCCTCTTACCCAGGAGCTGCAGGGCCTACAGTCTCTCCTGTAACAGTAAGACCATTCAGTGCTTTTGTTTTGAGATGTGACCATGTATATGTTTCTCTATATTTTTGTTGTGTATGTAAGTGTAAACCAACCCTAAAATTGAAAAAAAAGCCATGAAAAGGAGTTTGGCTGAAGAGATAGATGGATGCTTTCCAAATGCAAGCAATATAGGCTCATATGGCTTGAAACAAGTGCTGGTTTATTATTCAAGAGTTGACATGAATTCAAATTTAATGAAATTTGCCTTTCCTAACTTAACAAAGTACTGCCAGTTGTATATATAGTCTCATCAAACCGTAATTAATTGGACAGCAGTTTTAATATCAGTGAACTTTCTTGACCTTGCATTTTCTCATAATTTGGGTATAGAAATGAACAAATTGTTTAAGGTGGAGTTTTCTTTGAGTTTTCTGTTACTTTTCTAACAAAAAGAAAATTGGCATCGGTGGTCATCTTTCCTAAGTAGTAAAACACAGTCTTTTACTGATTAACACTAATATGCAACTCACCTTGGTCTGATCTTAGCATGGGAGCCGAGGCACAGTCACCGATGCACCGGGATTTGATCCTCTGAGGGATGCAGAAGTCTTAAGGAAGGCCATGAAGGGACTCGGTGAGCAGTCTGTGGATTTACATTTCAGTTAAAAGTAGAATTGCAGCTTTGATTCAGCACTGATCTTTCTCCATTGTTACATGTGTACTGAGTGGGCTACTTCACATGTGGTTGTCCTTGGTTATCAGAAGAATTATTGGAGTTCATGTAGGCATAAACAACATCCCGAGTTTAGTATTTGGTTTTGGAGTTGGTGTTTTTTATGATTGGGAGGTAGAGCTTGAAGTTCTGTGGTTGTATACAAGAGGAGATACTGTAGATGAATTAAAGGCATACATGTCCTTTGGTTGGGCTTAGGAGAGATAGGATCAAATCGAAACAGAAAGCTGAGTCCTCACTTGACACTCATGCTCATTCTGTGGTGTCTGTGTGCATGTACAGGAACCGATGAGCAGGCTATTATCGATTGTCTTGGAAGTCGTTCAAACAAGCAACGCCAGCAGATCATCCTATCCTTCAAAACTGCTTATGGAAAGGTAAATACGTCATGAGAACAGAAGGAAGAAGAAAGTGACTTCACTAGAAGTCAGAAGACAGTGTTTGGAAAAAAAGAGTGGAAGTTGCTTAAGGGGAAGATGGTTCACAAGTCATAGCCTGTTTAGGGTTCTGCTTTTACCCACTCTTGACTTTTTCATGCAGTGTTTCAGATGAAACTTATAAAGCAGTTTCTCTGCTAGATGATTACTTTGATTGGTCTGTGCAGTCTGTTTAATTGGACCTTAACTACCTAGATGTACATGTTACAGTTACGCTGGATTTAGTGTTGTTAAGTGGAACTTCAGAGCTTTACTTTTAAGATACATTATTGACGCTTACGCATAAAGAATTCTAATTAAACTCCACAATTTTGGTGCTTACATTTGTCAGTTTTGGTCTTTATGCATTTTTTCCTTGTTTTTACTTCTTATTAGGATTTGATCAAGGATCTCAAGTCTGAGCTATCAGGTAACTTTGAGAGGACAATCTTAGCAATGATGAAGACACCTGTCATGTTTGATGCTTATGAAATCAAGGAAGCTATAAAGGTTTGTGTAGGGGATACAAATTTATAAGATAGAGGAAATATTTGAGCTGATAAAATTTTTGGTAGTAATTTAAAAGCTTGAACTTATATTGCTTCCTCTCCATCCAGATATTCAACCCACTGTTTGACTGATCTGTACCCTGTTTCTTGGAGGTATATGATAGTAAAATTGTGAAATGTTATTCCCATAGGTTAAAGGTAAAGACTATTTAATAGGTTTGTGTTGTAACAAAAATGTATTTATAAATAAATACACAAAAAAAGGCAGAAACTGAGTTCTAACAGTCTCTGCAGTTCATTTATTACACAGTCTGGAGCAAGCCACTAAAGCGGCTCTCTTCTAAGCCAGCTACTGCATGGCGTGCCTTTGTTTCTGGGTTTTTGCTTTGAGCTGTGATGGAACTGATGATAATACAGCTCAACATGGAGTTTCAAGTGACTTTACATTGAGTGCTCAAGAATAGTTCTGAAAACTAGGTTCATAAAGATTTTGAGCAGGGTGTGCCTTCTATTTATCTTTTCCCCCACCTCAAAAGCCTATTTTCCTAGCCCTTGCTGAACCTTTTCTAAAATATTATGGAAGTATTAAGTACTTTCTCCTTAAAGCAATCAGAATATTTTATTAACATTTAAGTTTTTAAAATAAAAACAGGTCAAACATATGTATGTCAAGTCAGTGTTTAAATGACAGTGAAATAAAATATTTCCATTACTGAGTCAGTACGTATATTTACATGTTCTTTGGCCGCAATTTTAAAGTAGCTAGGAGGATGAAATAATATTAGCTGTATTGTAATTGCAACTGCTATCTGTAAGTTAGTGAAAGTTACCTATTAGAATTAACAAATTCATCTTTAATGGTAGAAAAAATTGATTCTTAAAATGCCTAAAATCTGGTGTGGATTATGACGTTTTAAAATGAAATTTTGTTTTCATAATTATTTTAATTATCTGTTCAATTTGTATCTTTAATACATATCTGTGTCTTGGAAACATGTTATAAGTAGCATTTAAACTACTTGCTTTGACTTCTCCTATAAGATTATATTCTGAATTGTATTTCGTTGTATAATTTTATTACATTTCTTTATACTAGGTTGTAGAAGTAAGATGAGAATCTGAAGAGTGTGTTTTCTCTTATGCTTTGTTTTAGGGTGTTGGCACAGATGAAAATTGTCTCATTGAAATCTTAGCTTCTCGCAGTAATGAGCATATTCAGGAACTCAACAGAGTCTATAAAGCAGGTTAGATTTGTTACAGTTCCATCAAAATTTTCTTCCTTTTCTTCCTTAATCACTGACTGACAATATGAATTTAGGAAATGAACAGGGGTGTGTGATGTTTCATGACTGTGTGTCTCTTCTAGAATTTAAGAAAACTCTGGAGGAAGCAATAAAAAGTGACACATCTGGACACTTTCAGAGGCTTTTAATTTCACTTTCTCAGGTACTTGCATGCCAGGGTTTTAGAGTTTGGGGGTTTTGTGTGTGTTTGTAGGTTTTGTTTTGTTTTTTTTTAAAAACAAAACAAAACAAACCCCCAAAAGCCCCACCAGTGACACTTTTGTATCTTCAAATTCTTTCAGGGAAACAGAGATGAAAGTACAAGTGTTGACATGTCTCTTGTCCAAAAAGATGTGCAGGTCAGTAAAAATTCTTCATAATTTCTAAGTATAGTCAACTCAATACACTGAAATTTGACTGTATGGTTTCTGCTTACTCTTAGTTTTGGACACCTTGTGACTTCTGATGTAGTGCTTATGTTTCAGTGGTTGGAAGTGATACGAAAAGCCCTGACAGAGCGCTGGAGCCATGTAGCTCCATTACAGAGATGAAGCTCTTGAGAATAGAGTCCATAGGGGTTTTTTATTTTACATTCTGTCAGCTCTCTGGCTTTTCCAGGTGCTGGGTGACACCATTGTGCTGGTTATTGAGGGAATGGTCCAAAGAGATTTGTGGTGATGCGTGTGTGGATTAAATTTTAATCTATTCAACACTTGCATTAGCCTTTGCCTGTTATTTAAGGAACTCTGGATTTTTACGGCAAATACGGTAGTTGGACCTAGTAACTCTTGCCCCGTTACTTTTTTTTTTTGTGCGTTCCACTTCACCATGTAGCAAAGAGAAAACCCTGGATCGTTTCAGCGCACTACTGTCATATAAATAGTAGTGTAAGTAGCTTTCTACATAGTATGCCTTAGCCAAAAGACAAGAACATCACAGAACATACCTAGAGGTGTAGACTATAAGCTAGGTGTAAGCCCTGTTAGGAAGAACAATTTTCAGGTACTTTTTAAACAGTTTTTTCCTCTTTAATAATCTGGAGCTCTTGTGTTTGAGCACTTATGCCTCAATAAGTGAGGAAGACTGCAAGCATAGCATATTGTAGGAAGGTTAGAACTAGTTGCTATTTATTGCTTGCTTCTGTTTTCCAGCAGTACACAGACTAAGTATAAAAGGAGGGGAGGCTGTAAGGAAGCAGATCTGTAACTCAGCTTTTCAGCCTGACTGCTTTTCTGAATAATGAAATGTGAATTCCCTTCTGTGTTTAGGAGCTATATGCAGCTGGAGAGAACCGTCTAGGAACTGATGAATCCAAATTCAATGCCATTCTGTGTGCAAGAAGCAGGGCCCACCTCAGAGCAGGTAATGGTGTCCTCTACACAGACAGTAACTTCATTCTGTTGTGTGTAATGATAAAAATGATAATATCTGTAACGATAAAAACAAACAACACTGCTCTGTACCTGAATTTCCCCCATCTGTAAAATGAATGTAATGATACCTCAATGAAAAGCAGGGTGAATTCTGCTGAGGGAAAGGATACATAAGAACTACACATTATGACCATCTTAAATATCAGAGCAGGGAGTGGACATACTTGTTCAAATGTTTCTCTGATAAAAGAATCAAAAAACTGGAATTGTTTCAATTTTGCATGCTTGTGTGTGCACAAGACACTTGAAATCCTTCCCTTCCCCTTTTACATGATGGTGATTAGGTGTTATACCAGTGGTGGAAATGTTTTAGTAACTACATAGAACTTTTGAAATGTGCTACATATTGAGGCACTTAATGGAGAGAAAAGAGATGGGGGTGTATGTGAGAACCTTAATGTTTTCTTCTTAATTTTATTGACACAAAGCTTTCGTAGAAGAGTTTTCACTGTTTCCCTTACAGTGGTTTCTTTGTCTAGCCCTTTAAAAATATGGATAGAACTAGACAAGCTAGAAGGAGCATGATGACATGTCAGTGGAACAATGTGGTTGATAACATAGTATTAGTCTTTGAGATGTTAAAAGTTCTGTAAGTACACTGTAGTATCAAGTTCAGAAGTGCGATTGAAATGAAGCAGCACCAGTACCACCTCTTTTTGTGAGGCCGACTCCTGAAATCTTTCTTTCTCATCAACAGTCTTCAGCGAGTACCAGAGGATGTGTAATCGGGACATTGAAAAAAGTATATGTCGTGAAATGTCTGGAGACCTGGAAAAGGGCATGCTGGCAGTAGGTATGTGTCATCTTAGCAAGTTCGTTCCTGGTATTCCACTACAACTGGCTGAGATGGTGGTGTCTGTGACTCCAGCTAAGGATGATGTTCATAGTAATAATTCCAGTTTTCTGCTTTTTACATTGAGCTTTCTGTGAAGTCACTTGTGGTTAGTAAAGCAGGGCACTTAATTTACCTTAAAATGACAGATGAAGCTTTTGCTTCAGGCAGCTGCAGAATTTAAATGTCACATGTTAAAGTGAGGAGAGAATTATTAACTGTACTTGGCATTGTTTTAAGAAGTGATGAGAACTTGTACCAAACGCTGAGTCAGTGAGAATGGGGTATTTGGGACAGCTTTGGAAATCAAGCAAAATATAGGCATTAACCCTCCAATTAGTTACCTCTATCTCCTTTTAGTAGAAAGAAAACTTAAATTTGATTGCAGAGAGGTTATTTTTCCACCTTTCCTGTGGTTACAGCTTTGTTAAATCTTTCTTTTTTAAGTACTTCTGAAGAGCAAAGACTTACCTCGGGTCTACTATTGTCCTTTGGGAGGTAGTCATTAGTTTTCATGACGTTGGGACAAGGCCTCAAGTTGTTGTGCAGTAGTTTTATTTGGAATGTTTTATTCTACGTGAAATTGTGGACCTCTTTCTCTCTCTCTTGTCTTTTGTCTCTTGTCCCTTAGACAAGACTGCTTCTTTACATCTCCATTTCTTTTTCTGTTTATTGCTGTGAATTTACTGTGATACCTAGAGCTGCTGCTTTAAAAGTGTTGTTCTTTGGTTGTGAATGTGGTAATAGCTAGAAAAGTGATGTAAGAAAAAAAAAAAGCAAATCCAAAAAAGATCCTACCAAAATAGGAAAAATGTACTTTGCATCATGTGGAAACAAGATGGGAGAAGACATTTCGCTCAATCACAGCAGATTTTTTTCATGGTAGTTTCTAACAAAATCCTGCAAAATGGGAATCAATTTTAAAAGCATCTTTTTTTCACTCCTGTCTTGTGCATGTGTGAACTATGTAACTATTGTTCTTGCTCTGCTTGGCCAAGCTGTCACTATCGTGGTCTTTTCATGACCCAAACTGGGTCCAACTCTGTTGATGTGATACATTTGCAGACCTTTTCCAGGATTCAGAATCTGTCACCTCAAAAAGTATTGTTAGAAAACCAAACTTGGGGAAAAGAAGTATTTCCCAGTGTTTGTAGAAAGATATCACCTTGGTGAAGAAACTGTACTGTCAGAGTTTGGAAGTCCTTTGACTTCATGGAGCTTTGCAGTCACTTGACAGGTCTCCATGTAGATACAGATTCAGAATTGGGACTGTAGCTTGCAAACAAGTCAATAGCCTTTTGAGCAAGAATTGTCATTAATATTCACTGAATAACTCCTTGAATAGATTTTGGTTTGGTTTTTTTTTTATTTATATGTTTATATACACACATATATATCTATGTTGGTTGATGTTAGCATCATTTGTTCTGTGAACCTTATTTTCAGGAAAAAACAGTTTTCTAATTGCAAATATTTAATTTCACTTTCTTTAAAGCTTTCTGGATTGTACAACTGGTAACTTACAATAACATCTTCAAACATCTTAAAAGTGCAAGTGTGTTGTTTAGCTAAATACAGTGATGAATAAACATGCATTTCATTTGTCATTTGTTTTTAAATTGTATATCATTGATAGTTGTGCGTGGTGAACTGCTATCTCTCATCTACATTTTCCTATTCAGAAAAGTACTTTTTCCTATATAGTATGTGTGTTGCTGTGAAATACTTGTTTAGGTTTACCCCTTTTGTTCTGTATTGATTTTACATGATTGCTTTTGATACCTTTTTGTGCTATAAAATATGCCAGGTGTGGTTTGTTTTCTGTGTAGTTTGCCACAGATTGCATGATTGTTCACTTGTAACCAATATAGGATCAATATATAGATTTTAATTCTGATGAGTGATGGAGAATTCTTTCATTATCCTGATTAACATGACAGTAATTTGATTTAGATTTTGCTCTTTCAGATTTCTAATAAACTGTGCTAATTAAATATAAAATCCAGTCATTACTACATAAGCATGTCAAGAATTTTTCAGGAGTTCTGGTGAACTTTGTGGCTAAAAAAAAAAGTGTAACTAACTTCAAAATAAGGGTGAGGTTTCTGTCATAGGTGGCTTCCCAACTTGTGTTAGGGTAGCACTTTAATTTTTCATACCTTGCAGATGCATGGCCTAAAAGTTCTTAAACTAAGAAAAAGCCAGGAACACCACTAGCTATGTGTTCCTTCAAGCCTTCTGCCTCCTGCCTATGCCCTCTTTTCCCTTCATAAGCAAGAATCTGGTCATTAAACTTTAAAGATTCATTATGGCTGCCTCATGCTAGATGGTTTCTAGTGACAGAAAAGTTTGCTTTGAGCCATGAAGTGTAGTAGGTTCTTTAACTTTATTGCAGCTACTGTTCGGATTAAAAATTATTTCAGTGACTAACTGAAGGAGTGGAAGCTGCATTGTATCGAGTGTATGTTTATTGAAAAATAAAGCATGTGACTATCTAGGGTAAGCTCAGAAAATGACTGTGAGTTCTGACTGAGGAGGAATACCTGATTTCTGTGATACTGTTTCTTTTTGCAGTTAAGTGCCTCAAGAACACACCTGCTTTTTTTGCAGAGAGATTACAGAAGGCTATGAAGGTAGGTGCCTGTAACAAGATACATAAACTTATAGTGTGGGTTTAGTGGTTTTTTGGGGTGGTTTTTTTTTTTTTAATGCTTGTACAGCTCGTTGGGATGAATTGTTCAGCTGAAGGTATTACATTTTTGAGTGGGCAGATGACTAACAAGATGTAGTCATTATTATGAAAGGCTGGGAAAATCTAGTTAATTTGATCCACTTAACAAAGAGATGTATACAGCCATACCTGAAACAACAAAAGTCTTCATTTGGTAAAACACAAATATGCTTAAGACTCATTGAAATTGGTATGTTTTTAAGTAGGGATATCTAGCTGAAGTAAATAAATAGGCAATTAAACTCACCAAACTTTCCTGACTCCCTGTCCCTCTGACACCCCCCCCTTTTTTTCTTCCTAACTGTTCTTGTGCAGAGAAATGACTGTTAGTGTCCTACCAGTAAATTTAATTTATTAAAGGATGATAGGCCAAATTCTGTTCAAGCTTATTGAAGTCAATGCGTTATGCTAGTAAACGGCCGTTTGTGGAGTGATGATTTATATTAATTTTTTTACTAGTGCTGTATCATCCAGCATTTCCACAATTTATTAATACATTATATTGTTGGGTTTTTTTGTTTCAGGGAGCGGGAACAAAAGACAGAACTCTGATTCGAATCATGGTGTCACGCAGCGAGGTTGACCTGCTGGACATACGTACAGAATACAAGCGGATGTATGGCAGATCACTCTACGCAGATATCACTGTAAGACTTGGAGACTTTATGTTCCCTACTGTGACATCCTTTCTGCTAGTAGAACATGGATCCTTATGCTGAATACCTATTAGCTGCACTGAGTGTAGCTGGCTGTGTTTGGCTTGCTGCATTTGTCAGGAGAGTGGAGGCTGAAGTGCCAGAGAACAGAGAGCACTTGCTTTTGTGTGGGGGCTAGATGAGCTAGAGATGGGCAGGAAGCCAACAGACAAGGAAAGAAAAGGAAATTGGTCCAGAGGGGTTTCAGAGACCTGGTCTTAAATCTGGTCTCTGTCCCAGTCTCTGTATGTGATCTTGTAGAAACCATTTGGTCCTCCAGCTGAGTAACAGTGGTGCTCTATGTCATGTGCGTGTTGAAAGAGTGTAAAGCTCCTTTTAAAAGATTGTCTCCTTTTTCTCTTGAAAGTTTGGATTTAGATTTTGGAAATAGACTAAACTTCAGATTCTTTAGCAGTTGTAGCAGTTGATCCACCCTACTACTGATATTAACAGCTGTAGCAACAGTCAAGAGGATGCCTGGCCAATGGGGAGGGTAATAAGAGCTGGAGGAGAGCAAGTGGTACCCCTTTCATTTACCTTGTAATGAAGGTGCCAAATCTGTTAAGCCCCTACTTACTACTTCTGCTGTTGACGCTGAAGGGCTGCAACTTGGTGGTGTCTGGAAGGAATCCTGCAAAGATAGTGAAGGGTAATGTGCACCAAAAAGTCTTGATGTGAGTCTTCTGCCAGCAGCTATATAGTCTTTCTGCCCATGCGCCACAGAGCTTCACCTAGCAGAAGCTTTTTCCCAGTGTGTAGCTCTGGAGTGAAGATGTGCTTCTACTGCAGTAGTTACATGCCCTGTAACCACCAATGTGTGAGTAAAAAACAGTGAGACATTGGTGGAAAAGCTGTATGTGTCTCTTCCCCCCCCCCCCCCCGCTTCTCTTTTGATCTGGCATTAAAATAATTTTACCGTTCAGAAACAGCAATGGGCCATACCCATTTAATGGGCTGAACTTATTCAACACTTGGTTTCAGTAAATATGGGACATGCATATGCACAGTTATGTGTATACAAACTCTACTTCTTATTTCTGTAAAGGTGGAACTGGAAATATCCTTGGAAAGAAAGTTCTTAATTCTTCTCTCTCTTTTTTTTTTTTTTTTTTTTTTAGTGGACAGCAGTTCTTTCCTTTCTGTGCATACACAAACAGGAATGTTTTTGTGGTGTCTTGACCCTGGCTGGATGTCAGGTGCCCACCAAAGCTGCTCTATCACTCCCCCTCCTCAACTGGACAGGGGATAGAAAATGTAACAAAGGGTTCATGGGTTGAGATAAAGACAGGGAGAGATCACTGAACCAATTACTGTCACAGCCAAAACAGATTCAACTTAGGGAAAATTAACTTAATTTATTGCCAATCAAACCAGAGTAGGGTAATGAGAAATAAAACCAAATCTTGAAACACCTTCCCCCACCCCTCCCTTCTTCCTGGGCACAGCTTCGCTCTCAAATTGTCTACCCGCCCTCCCCCCCACCCTCCCCCCGGGGTGCAGGGGGACAGGGAATGGGGATTGTGGTCAGTTGGACAGTCTCTGCCACTCCATCCTCTTCAGTGGTAGGACTCCTCACGCTCTTCCTCTGCTCCAGCGTGGGGTCCCTCCCATGGGAGGCAGTCCTCCATGAACCTCTCCAACGTGAGTCCTTCCCACAGGCTGTAGTTCTTCACAAACTGCTCCAGCGTGGGTCCCCCACGGGGTCACAAGTCCTGCCAGAAAACCTGCTCCAGCGTGGGCTCCTCTCTCCACAGATCCGCAGGTCCTGCCAGGAGCCTGCTCCAGTGTGGGCTTCCCACGGGGCCACAGCCTCCTTTGGGAACCCACCTGCTCCGGTGTAGGGTCCTCCACAGGCTGCAGGGGGAGATGTGCTCCACCGTGGACCTCCCTGGGCTGCAGGGGGACAGCCTGCCTCACCATGGTCTTCCCTACGGGCTGCAGGGGAATCTCTGCTCTGGCGCCTGGAGCATCTCCTCCCCCTCCTTCTTCACTGACCTGGGGGTCTGCAGGGCTGTTTCTCTCACATCTTCTCACTCCTCTCTTTGCTGCAGTTTCTGTGCCCCAGCAACTTTTTTCCCATCTTAAATCTGTTATCCCAGAGGCACTACCACCATCGCTGATGGGCTCGGCCTTGGCCAGCGGCGGGTCCATCTTGAAGCTGGCTGGCATTGGCTCTATTGGATGTTGGGGAAGCTTCTAGCATCTTCTCACAGAAGCCACCCCTGTACTCCTCCTGCTACCAAAACCTTGCCACGCAAACCCAATACAGTTTTATATTTTGTGGGTTGTGCTTTATGCATGCACAGGATTTATCCTGATCTTTGAAGTGTCTCTTTGTCACAATTGTAATAATTTTTATGTGGACAAAACAGTTTTCAGTCATACCTGAAGATGAAGGATGAGATAAATGCACTAACTGAAACTGTTCTGTGAAAAGGATTGGCAAGCCTCATCAACCAAAACTAGTTCATGAGCAGCTCCCAGGGAATGCTTTTTACTCTTAAGAGCAGCAGGCAAAACTCGGCTAGCGGGGGCCATTTGTGATTAATTGCATGTTTGTGCATCCATACTAACTTTCACTGCCCACAACATGAAAGAGACGTTCTCTGTGGGAAAAAACCCCCTTAGATCTTTTGATATCAGGGCATTGGTTTTAATGTGTCGTGGTTTAACCCCAGCCAGCAACTAAGCACCACGCAGCCGCTCACTCACTCCCCCCCATCCAGTGGGATGGGGGAGAAAATCGGGAAAAAGAAGTAAAACTCCTGGGTTGAGATAAGAACGGTTTAATAGAACAGAAAAGAAGAAACTAATAATGATAATGATAACACTAATAAAATGACAACAGTAGTAATAAAAGGATTGGAATGTACAAATGATGCGCAGGGCAATTGCTCACCACCCGCTGACCGACACCCAGCCAGTCCCCAAGCGGCGATTCCCTGCCCCCCACTTCCCAGTTCCTAAATTAGACGGGACGTCCCATGATATGGAATACACTGTTGGTCAGTTTGGGTCAGGTGCCCTGGCTGGGCATGAGAAGCTGAAAAATCCTTGACTATAGTCTAAACACTCCTGAGCAACAACTGAAAACATCAGTGTTATCAACATTCTTCACATACTGAACTCAAAACATAGCACTGTACCAGCTACTAGGAAGACAGTTAACTACATCCCAGCTGAAACCAGGACAAATGTTTGAACATAACAGAGTAAACTTTCACTTGCTGCCCCTGGAAAAATATCCACATTGACTGCAATGAAAAGGACTTCTGTATTAATTTTTCCATACCTTTTGCTGGAAGATAGCTTTTCGGTGAGTTTTTTGGTTTTGTTTTTGTTTTTTTTATTGAACCATTCCCAGGTAACTAGTTGGACCTGTATACCACATTCAGTTTGCTAAAGAAATTTATCCTCTTTGGACACTTTTGGTTCCAGTCATGGAAGGAGCATATTTTACTGTGTACTTGTGTTAGAGTGATTTCTAATTAGCAGGCTCTTTAATTTTTTTTTTTTTTGCCTTTTTTAAGAGTTTAACACCTGCTTTCTTTCAGCCCTGGTTTCATCTCTTTTGGTTGTTAATGTTGTGTTTAGGATGCTTACACTTCTTTTTCCTCTATTTCAAAGCACAAGTCTTCAACTTTTCTTTTTCTGGGTTTCTTTCCAGGGTGATACTTCAGGAGACTACCGGAAAATCCTACTCAAGTTGTGTGGTGGAAATGACTAAATGGAGCATTGAGCTTTTCTTAAAAAAGCTGCTATGATCGTGTTTTTACTTTAAAGCATCTTTTTTTCTCCATAAGTAAATATGTAATGACCTGTTTCTCCTAAAGCAATTGCATTTTAAAAGATAATATTGCATATATCTTCAATTAAAAAAGTAGGTAATAAATGCCAAAAAAGTATAAATATCAAGTTTATGTGCCATCTGCTCAGGATTCTGTATAATACCCTCAGCAATCCATTAATGACAGGTCATTATTTCTTTTCTGCTTATATTGTGCTGGAGTAATATGTTTGTTTTATGGAACAAAAGTTACAGTTGTGTGATTTAAGGTTTTATTTTGTATAAACATTATGTGCCATTTTAATGCAAGTTTTATATATATTGTATGCAGAGTTGGTTCATGCTAGCCTACTCCCTGATATGTGGAGAGAACAGCCTTGAGTTATTGTGTCTAGTTAAGACTGTTTTGAAGAAGTTTTGTCAAGTTCTGTTTTCTTTTCTTGATTGTTTTTAAGGAAGATGTGTTCCACATTTCATTCTCACTAGGCCAACTGTCACAAGGTAGTAGTAACGTTGACAGTAGTAAAGATTCTATGGTTAATGTTTTAAGGTTTTGCATTGTGCCTTAAATATATGTATGTAGGAAGAGATTATGAAATTAAAGCTGTCTATCTTCTAACTCTTTGCAGACTATGCTTTTTGGTGTTCATGTTGATTTACGTGTGAGTGATCACTCAGTTTATGTAACTTAGTTTTTCCATAGAAGTTCTCTGCTGAATCCACAGAATTATTCAGAAATTGTTGTGTTGACAAGAGTCTGGGACTTGTGTGCTGTTGATGAGCAATTGTCTGTACCTGATATATGTAATCTATAGTTATTGTTCAGTATTTTCATTTTGCATATTGTAATTTATCTTCCCTGACTCTTGGAACTCTGAATTTTTATTCTCTGCTAGCATGGATGACATCTCTTCAGCTTATCATTCTCAAAATAGAAACATGTAAAGAAAAAAAAAAAGTAGAAGGGGGGAAGAGGTTTGGAGCTAGGTCAGTGAAAATAGACTGCTTGTTAATCAAGAATGTGCAAACTACTTCTCTTATTTCACGCACACTCTCTCTCCATTCTGTAAAGGTCAGGTAGGTCCTTTTTCCTAGAAGAAGCTGTGTGACTGTTTGTCATGGAATAAAATGGGGGTGTCATGGGCGTGGATGTTGGAATTAAACCTGGGTTGCATGTCACTACAGCAGTGGAGAAGAGTGTAAAGATTACAGAATAAGGTGGTTGCGCATCCAAATGACAAATTCTGACTAGTCCCAATTCTGCCTAGGACACGCAGATAAGACTCCTGTTTCAGTCAATGGCAGCAATGTGACTATGTCCAAAGCCAGACCACTCCATACACTCATTTTTGTCAGACAATCTAAGCATATCTTGAGAGGAAATTGCAGCTGAAAGTGTATCCTCATTGATTTACACCAATAGCAAGAGTTCATTTCTTTGCAAGGGAAGGAGTAAGCTTTTGAATTAAGTGAAGTTTGTTAGCTGTGCTTCAGTCCCAGACCCCACCTGATATTGTTTTCTTACTGAGAATGCTGTATTTGAAATGCAGTTTTGATAAAGTAGGGCTGCTGAAAGATTTAAAATAAAAAGCTTTGAAATAGTGTCTAAAAGCAAATACCTGTTTATTATAAAGCACAGGAACACAGAAGGCAAACTACAGCTGAGGATCGTTCAGCCCTGCTCAAATTCTGGAAACACAAGCTTATTAAATGAACAAAAGTGCCTACTGTTTATTACAACCATACTGTTAACATTCAGCTGTCTTCTGTCTTCACAGTGCTCAGCTGGTATCTGTATAGAGAAGAGTTGATGTAATTATTTTTGGTTATACAATCAGGATCAATCTTTGTGGATAAACATCATTTAAAACATGAATCATGCCTGCTCCTTTAAAGTGGAAAATTGTCACTTTGATTCACCAAATCACAGAAGGAAGATCCTATCTGCAATTGTTGAGCCATTTGGCAGTTGTTGCAAGCTCCATCTGAGTAGTACTTACTATAGATGTGCTGCAAATATGCCAAGGTTTCCATTTTAAATTCACTGTAATACTTTACTGGAATACTTTTCTTTTTTAAACAAACTATTATTGCAGGGGAGTAACTGAATTGTTACCTATTAACTGCCCCTTACAGAAAACTGGAAATTTTAATGAATAACAAAGTTGGTGAGGATGTATCAGTCATGGTGACCAGATCTGTACAGCCAACTGCAAGAAATAAAAACCAACATAAACTCTACTGTTGTCTACTTCAAGCCCACCTTCTATCATGTAAGTGCACTATGGTATACAGGTGTGTATGTACCCATGTACAGCTCTCTTAAACCAACAAACAAAAAAACCCAACAATGACAAAACTGACTTCATAAACATGTCTCTGGATGCTCATACCTTTCCACAAGAGGTTTATTTTCCACCAGGAGTGTCTCTCACCTTGTTAAATTCACTGTTGATATTTGGGCAGAGAATGAAGAGGGCAGAGCATTATAAGAAGCTGTGTAGAATAGGTGGTCTCATCCAAATAATTTCTGTTGTGGTTTAATGTATATCAAAAATGTTTATCCAGGAGCATGTTTTGTGTGAGAGGCTTGCATGTCAAAATTGGATTTAAGATATCAAAATGCTAATACTTCCAATAACTTCTTTGGTATTTTGTTACCCTCCTTTGTTTCATTTGACACACATGAAACTAAAGAATCACAGGATCTTAAAACTGAAAGAGAGCTTGAGATTGCTTAGTCCATCGTGCAGTTCTAAGGTGTGATGCTTGTTTAACATTTCCAGTGCTGAGGAAACTGCAGTCATGTAATTTCAGTGGATCACTGTCCTTGTAAGAAAGCTTTGCATTGTGTTTTGCTTGAGTCTTTCTTGCTGCATTATTTCTTGTTTTATTCAGTTTTGCAATGGGGAAGAAAACACAGTTTTCATCTTCATGGCAGCCTTACTTGTTCTGGTGGGCTACATTGATATTCTTTAGACTAAACATCCCCAATTTAGCAACCTTTCTGTGTAGCTCATGTATCTAGCTCTTTGGCTGGCTTCTTGTTTGTTTGGCATTTTGTTGGTTTTTTTTATTCTTTTATTTCCCCTTCTCTTCCCTGCCCCCCCAGTGGTTGTTGAAACCTGGTGTCCAAAACTGGACCCAGTATTTCAGCGGAGGCCTTAGCTGCACTGGATTGAATGAAGGAATTACTTCACATCTTGGGGGGAGAAAAGAGGACGTATTTGGTAATAACATATGCAAAGCTGTTCTCAGTTTAGGTTATATCCCACTAGATACTTACCATCAAAAATGTCTATAAGTGGGGTTCCTGGAGCAATGGGGATATTTGATGTTGTCTCACTGATGATGTTGAGGAGCGATTTGACTTCTGATTCTAGATGCTCCACTGTTTTTATTACCTTCTAATGAAAACAAGGGAGACAAATGGAGAAACGGTGTAGTCAAAGGGTCAATTGGAAGGCATTGTACTGAATGTGTTAGTGGAAGTGCAAATCTAATGTCCCATAATGCCAACAGCTAATGTAATTTATATTGCGCATTGCAGATTTAAATATTTCTTGTGTTATTCTGGCCTCTAGTGGCACAAGGTATTAAAACTTCTGCAAAATTACAGCATCTCTCTATAAAGAATCACCCATAATTTGACTTCTTGGAGGGAGCTTTGTGTTAATTTGTTTTTAATTCTCTCTCATTTCTGAGCCACCATCATATCCAAGAAAAGAATCCACGTGGAAGATGAGAGGAGCTGATGGGGTGGAAAGAAGAGGGCTGGGAGTAGAGCAGAAGAGGTAACATTGCCATTTAAATGAGAACCAACAGCATGCAGTTTGGCAGCTAGCCAGCTGGGAATAGTTAGCACTGGCCATGTATCTTGTGAGTGCTTAAGACATCAGGGAGAAAACCTAAAGCTTTGCAGCTTTCCTAGAGTCACAGTCACGGAGTTCATTTTGCTCTTGAGTGTCTGCAGGTGCGAGCAGAAACTTGTCTGTCACTCTTCATCACCTGCAGAGTTTACATCTAGCCAAGACTGGATGCGAAACTTTACAAGTATCGGTTCTGAGATTGTTATATTAAAGGCACAGTTATGAACATTTTAGAAAAGGCTGATATCTAGCAGTCAGTGATTGGTTAATCAGTTGTTTGGAATTCATCAAGATTATATGTTTCTGGTCATAATAGCTTTATGGATAGTTACAAATAATGACATCTGAAAAAAATAGATCTTGAATAAAATCGAGAAGGGACAATGTCTAGAATCATCATTCTTCTTTCTTTTCTGTAGTCAATAAGGATGGGGCAGAGGTCTGGTAAGGACCAGGAACCAGTGCAATAGCTCTTACCTCTTCAATAATATCTAAGCGTTTGTGGATCGTATCATGTTCGTTACACCAGCTCCCTCTTCCCAAACTTCCAGGTAACATACTGACAGGGTCTGCAGCAGCTGTAAAAACAGCCACAGTTAATTAGCAGGAGCTTTTTAATAGCAGCCCTTACCTTTCTGACTTCTGAAGTGGTATTTTGCATGCTAAACTGCATTTTTTTTTTATGAAGCCAAATGTAGGAGTCCCAAGTAGAAACTGAACCTCTCTCCCAGTAACTACAGCTATACCCTAGTACTGTGAACGTCTCCTTGCCTGTACGTGTTGTCATGGTTGGTTGGAACAAGGTGTTTTCTCTTGCCAGGGGTATTTTTTGTTTTGTTTTGTTTGTGCATTTGTTTTACACAATCTGTTTTTTCCTACCAGTGCAGGGTAAGTTTATAGACTGTAACTCTGTCTCTACAAGTATAAAACCTAAGCATTGGGAAGATCTACCTTACACATCAGCTCCTCTTAGACTTTCTTCAGAAGCAGCTGTTGTGGTAAAGCTTTGAAGAGTAGCTAAGTTGGTCCACTTATGTCCCAAATGGATACAAGCTGGTGATTGCCCTGAGCCGGAAACTTGTCCCTAACAGTCTGATTTTGCAATGGGAAGGGAAACACTAAAAGTATGTACAGCTGATGCGATTTGCTGACCAAGTCACTTGTAAATGGTGCTATATACAAAGTCACTTATCTCTGTCAGTTATCTGTATTTACCTCAGTACTTGTGAGCTCTTGCTCTTCGAACATTTCATTCTGCTGGCTGTCCTCCAGGAAAGGTCAGTACCTGCTGGTGTGCATGCTTTAATGGAGCCAATTTGCTTTTCATAATTTCTGTGCAACAATTCAGTAATGTTTAGATTTTAATATGTATGCATAGAACTATAGCGGAGTATTTTAAACCTCACTAAAATGATAACATATCTTGCTCCATGTAAAGTTAGGTCTTTTTCTTGTTTGAGGCCTGAAGAAGCTATAATAATGAGAAAGCAGCAGTAACTCATTCTGTCATCATTCGACTGTAACACAGACAAAAGGGGAACTGTGAGTCTGTGTTATAATGAACAGTAAGAAACACAGGAAGAGCAACTAGTTCTGTCTTCAGTACTGTTGGGCGAGAGCAGTGGTTTGGAACTGCTGCAGTGCCTCATCACAAGTCTGTGCCAAGATTTTGGGAGTGTATGTATCAGATGATGGCAAACACATGTCAGTAAGGATTGTAGCCATTGCAGTTTGATGGGATGAGAGATGTACTCTGAGTTGGAATGGTATCCTTGAAATTGGAGGGTGGAGAGGAGAGGAGGATTAAATTGTGATCTGATGTCATTTAGAAATGGGTTTGGCAGAGCTAAGAGAATTTTTGGGGGTTTATTTGTAACAAGATTTTGGTTTGGGTTTTTTGGTGCATGCACCAGGAGGTGGTGCTGTTAGGACAGAATCCCAAAGAATTAATCTACCTGTTCACAGAAGACTGCTGAAATATGGCAGGTACTTAAACACTAGCTGCTTTGTAGTTGCCCTTTTTTTCCCTTTGTTGCTGCTGGTGGTGTTTTGGGAGTGTTGTTACCTTGTAACTTAGTAGTCAGTGAACCATGGTACTTCTCAAAATTCTTGCTTATTTACATGTTTTTTTTCCATCGTGGCTGGAACAATACGGAGATACTGAAACTCTGTGTCAAAAATTGAGGTTACAAAGCAGTGACCAGTCTTTGTCGACAAACCTTGGCTTTCCTAATAATAGGATAATAGCAAGGTAAGCTCCATTTTACTGTCAGAGATCAATAAAATTTCCACCTTTGCAATATTCCTAGCTCTAGCTCTCTCAGCATCAAGCCTGATGGCCCGATTCAGCTGTACGCTGAACTGCCACCCACCGCGTTGGAGAGAGGACCAAGGGCAAGCAGAAGGCATTGTGATGATGTAACTGTGGATCAGTTGTTAACTGCTGGGAACGTTCCCAGATCTAACTACAAATGAACTGTGAAAAGAGGCAGCAGAAATCATTAGGTGGACTAAGAGCAAATGGAACAATTTAAGAAACCCCCAGGAGGTTATTTTTTCACTGTATTAACCTAGGTGTAGATGGCTGGATTACAAGATTGGATGGAAAGTCTGGGTGAAGGCCAGCACCAGTTGTATGCGGTTGTTAAAGGAGCTTTTGGCCAGCCATAAGTTACATGCCAGGCTTGTTTGGTTTTGTCCATTCCCTAGGAATGGAAATGCAAGGGGGTTAAGTTGGCTAGCTCAAGTTAGTGTTGGCCACTTCTCTTTCTCTGATCATGCATCTTATATCATGCTGGTCCGTTAAAGAAAGCCCAGAGAAAGCTCCTTCTTCCTGCAGGAGAAGCAGAAGTAGCTGTCTGTCCCGCCCGAATCGGACTCTGACCCAGAGACTCTCTGGCCTTTCCAAACTGCCTAACGGCATGGCGGGCATGCCTGCTGGCACTGTGAAGGGGTTCCTTTCACCTCTTTCCTGATACAGGACCTTAAATCCACAAAGTGACTTTTTGAAGCAGAAATTATATAAGTTCTTACACAAAATGCCACTTTAATCACTCCTATAGCTTAGCCCTTCCTTGTGAAAGAGGATTCTGTTCAGCACAAACCTCAGCATTGTGCTGACTGCTACTCTAGGCAGTGTACGTAGATGGGGAGGTTACGTATGACGGACGACTGTCATTTGTTCAAAGCAGGGTGTGCTATGATAGGTATATATAGCCAAGGTAAGGTTGTTGCATCTCACTGTGAGGTTAGCAAAACACTGCACAGCTTTGTGTGCACATGCACGTCTAGAGAACTAGGTAAAGGGGTTGCTGTGAAATGCAGGACTCGGTGGTGCTTTGTTCCTTGGAGTGGTTGCTTCCTCTCTTCTGACACAGAGACAGACAGCTTTCTGGCACTCAGAGCACATTGCTGCTTTATAAACTGTATTTGGCTTACTGAAGGAGGAGGAAGTGTCTTGTCCTAGTTTGATAGGACTGTAAGATGTTACTCAGAACCACAGGACTAGTGCAGTACCTAAAAAATTTGACAAACAGTCGAAGCCTAAGTGTCTCAGGAAGCACCTTAGAGCTGTTGTTAGCAAGTGATAAGATTTAGTAGAAACCAAAGCATGTCTAGTTCCCAGAGCTCACAGTATGGAGTCGGCTGAGGGCTGACCCAGCAGAAACCCCCTCAGCCAGGGCCTGCGTGTCTGTGTCTGGTTAGCAACTTTTGCTCTTGTACTTGTGACTGCCCCTTCACCACCATGCTAGAACAGGGTACTTGAGGTGGGCGGTTGCTGCTGCTGGCTGGGCAGCCAGTGCTTTGGTCAGTGTAGTTTTCTTCTGTTTTCTGAGCCTTGGCTGGAGGCTTTGGCTGCTAAAACCCCTGATTGTTATTTTGTTGTCTGGCTTTGGCTCTTAACCCACAGCCTTTATCTCTGGGATGGGCTGTTCACAGGACACATCCGGTCCCTTGTAAATATGGCACGTATCTGGGTCACTATGGTCAGACAATTCAGCTGAAGCGGTAATTTCCACGTGCTCAAAGGGAGTCACATGTTGCTTATGAGTGCTGCCCTTCTCTGTATTGCAGTTGGTGAAAGAAAATGACACAGTCTGCCTTTGGCACTGACCTCCAGTAGCATCTCTACCTCATGTAATAATAGCAGTCACCTTGTAAAGGGAGCAAAGAATGGAAGGCTGCAAGCCATGTAAGCAAAAGACTAATGGCCTTTTAGGATACTTCCATGTACTTGCTCTCTTGTTGCTGAAGAAACATTTTTAAAATGTAAATTAGAATTTTTACTTGTCTATGTGTCAAAGCAGATGCATAAATGCAGAAAACTTTGATAGTAAATTTTAAAGCTAACAGCTTTTACAAGTAAACTGTTCTTTGTATGCTGTATAAATTACATATTTAAAATGTGTGGGTATTTGCAACTTCTGACAGCTTAAGCAAGTGTGTAGTAGGCATATTTCAATGTCTCAAATATCTCATTTGAAACTTAACGGATTACTTCAGGCAGGTATTTGTTGTAATGTTTCAATATGGCAGAGAGTATGTTACCTTTCAGCTAACTTCCGATCTGCAAATTCCCACCTCATGCTTCCTGCAAGTGAGATGCTTCAATTCTTGAAGTCCATTCTATTTGATACCCAGGTGGTTATTTTCCATCAAGAATCAGAACTCTCTTGTTCAAGATAAGAAAAGGACCCGTGCCTTTTTACCTCTGATAAAGCCTTCTGTGCTACGTTGATGCCGCCCCATAAAGGCTAGGTGGTTCTAACTGCCCTGTGCTGTCATACAGTCAGACACCAGCAGATGGAGCAGGAAAATGGAGAATCGCTGAATTGGTTGCTAATAAGGATATGTTTAATAGAAGAATATGCTCAATGTTTGAAAGAAGTAGCATGATGAAGAGTAAAGATCTATGTATCATGGTCAGCCTGACTACAAAATTTAATTTTGTAGTAGGAGATAGAAAGAGCAATGAAGTAAGAATTAAAACAACCTTAGCAAACAGGTTAGGAGCAAAGGCCTTAGTTTTAGAACACCTCTCAGTTAAGCTCCTCTGCCTCCTGTACATTTGATATATTCCCCTAACTCCCCAAGGTGTTGCTTCTACACAATCCCTGAAGAAGTTCCCTTCTAGGATCATCAGGATTCTGTCTATCCAGATGCTGTTAAATGGTTAATTTTGATCATCTAAGTAGTTGCTAATACTAAACATCGGAATAAACCTGAGTAACTGCCTCTTCACTGTCATTTGCTGCTGGTACTAAGACTGACAGAACTGAAGTACATGATCACACAGATCTGGTAGGTCTTTATAAGTATTCTTCCTAAAGAGGCATTGCCGGTCAAACTGAAGTTACAGACTTGATACAGAAATTACTGGGTTAGGTTCTTTGGTCTGTGTTATGGAGAAGGTCAAGCTGAGTGACCATAGTGTTCCCTATTGGTCTTAAAGTCTATAAAATTCCTCTTGTATCATTCTATGGTTAGTGTGGTTTTGACAGTTAACTGAGAGTTCATGTTGTGCTTAGTAGGGAGGGAGAGGTAGAACAAAGCAGGCCACAAGCCAAATGAAAGACAAGTGAGATGGAAACAGGAACCAGATGGCAAATGAGGAAGCCTGAAATCATGTGATGGACCAAAGGGAGTAAAGGAGAACATGTCTAACTCTTCAAGAAAACATACTGTGCTGTGTGTTCTTGTTTGCACTGCATTAGGTTTAGCAGTATCCTTTTATTCCTGGGACTGTATAGCATAAGGTGGCCAGATAGCTTTTAATCAGAAAATGAAGGGGGTGGTAATGGATTTATGTTCCAATAGGAAAAAGGTCATGAACTTGAGTATCAAATTCAAATGGTGAACCCCTAACCAGTTTGGGAAGAATGCAACAGACCTCTGAAGGGATTTGCTGATCCTTGCTTACATTATTCCTTGTCTAAATATAAGTGTTGGACTCCACTTTAACATGTATATATAACTTTGAAGTGTTAGCACAAGAAATTACATGGTTTACAAAAGTGGTTGGTGAAGTTAACTTGCAGCTGCATACAGCAAACGTTCCATTGCTTTGAACCTGAACTGATACTATCAGTATTAGTGCTTTCAGACCTAAGACCATGTTAAGCCACGAGTGTTAGTCATATTTAATTTTGGGGACTGTTCTTAACGGCATCAAACTTAGTTTCTGGTTATGTCAACCCTTAATTATATTGGCATCCTTAGATATGGAAGTACTGGGTTAATTTTCTGTACCATTACCAGTTTCATTATCACCAGTGTGCCCAAATTCATTTTAAGCTGTATTGTATATAACTTAATCTGTATCAAATTTTATTATTAGGACACCAAAAATAATTGATTTGGCTAGAATGTGTTGTATTGGAAATGCTTTTTAATGCGCAGATTGTCTTCAAATTCTTACATGCTCAGGAGCCTATCTTTAAGTGGACATAGAGCATCTTCCAGGCTGTAATCCATAAAACACTGCCTAATACTTAACTGTGATTTAGGCACCTCTGAACCTCTTTCTAGATTTTAGAGTTTCTAGTTGCTTAAAGATAAGGGAATTCTTGCCTTCAGTGACTGCAAGAAAGACTGCGGGAATTGTAATAAATATGTACAATTTCTTAGCTTCTTATATACTGTCATAGGTTACTATACTTACACTGCAGAAAACTGCAGGGGTTTGCTTATATATACATGCAAATATACACACACACACACACTCACACGTAAACATATATATGTACACACACCTTTATTAGGCTCTAGCTTTTATGGCAGAACAACACTGCAAATTCCATACAGGGCAAATGTAGAATATCCGAAGTGGGAGGTGGAAGGTAAGCATTGTATATTAGACAGAGAATTGACAGTAGAAAGCTCTTCTGGAATTTGGGGGGCAGAGGAGGATTGGTTTGGTTTGGGTTTTTTTTAAAAATCATTTCAAGAAGGTACATTGAAAGTTTTTAATGCCTGATTAGGGTTTAATCTGTAATCTATACATTCACTGTATGCTTCAACTGCTGCCTGAATGCCAAGTCTTGGAAAGACTTCAAACATGGAAGAAAATCCAAGGGATTCCTCTGCTGTCCAAGATTCATGAGCCTCTGATAATAATGGAAACATCCTGAAGTAAGTTTCTTCCATGAAATTAATTATTTTTAATACTAATTTTAGAAGCTAAATAACCATATCAGAAAGTCAAGTTCCAAACCTGCAGACCTGGTTCGTACTCTGTTTATCAAGACATAGAATATGCTACTATGAATATTATTTCAGATCCTAGGTCAGTTAAGATTGAACTTATTTTAATTCTTTTTTCCCCTGACAGAGAAGGACCAAAAAGGAAATCTCATGCATTGTGGGATGTATTGCATTAGTGAAGGTGGGTCAGGGTATCAGCCTACCAGTTCTTACTTCTCTAACTTGCCTGTCCCATCAACCTACATGTGAGATGCCATGTTGTGATGTGTTGTGGTCTTACCATGCCTCACTTGTGCTTGTGAAATACGCAAAATTGGAAACGGGACTTGGTAGAAATTGTTCCTGACTAGGAGATGGCTGCCATGTGTTTCTGTGTAAAACTATTTCATCTGGAGGAAGTTCTTGCTATCATGATCCATGTCATTCTCATTTCACAAGGGAGCTTCAGATTTTGCTTACTCAGCAGTGGAGACTGAGGGGGGGGGGTACAAGGCCAGGGATAGTTTGTGCTGCCAGTGGGCACTCTTTTTCAGGCACAGCAAAATCTGGGGCCCCTGCCTTGGCTGTCTGCCAGAAGCAAAATTACTACTTGAAAAAACACTTTTCTTCTGCTGTGCTACCATATTTGCAATTTTAAGAAGCACTTAAGTTTTGTATATTTTCACTCAAAGGAAGGAAGATAACAATAAAATGTTCCTGTGAAGGAGCTGTTGGCTTGGA